AGCACATTTGTACATCACCTCTCCTAGTGATTTGTTACCATCATACTGAATTATATCCCAACTGTTCCAGAGAAGGGCTGCCTTTCACATCATCTGCCTTGCCTGGGTCTTAGGAAGAAAATGTTTGTGAAAATATCACAGAAGCACCCTTGCTTTGTGGTTTGAGTGGGTATATTTGCATTTTCACTCTCTCTCCTGTTTCTTTTGCAAAATGACATTAATGAATTCTCTGGTTGTGCTTTTCAGTGGCACATTTTACTTTTTGGTTGTCAGAGGTTATAAATCCCCTGGGCTGGAAAGCTTTTTAAGAGGAATTTCTTAAGTGGAGCTCTTTCTTTCTTTTTTTATTTTTAAAGCTTTGAGCCATATGTAGAATATATGCATTTACTTGTATAAATAAAGGGTTGAGAGGGCAAGGGGATCTGTAGCCTGGTAGGGATGAAAAGGACTGTGTATTTTAAATAGTGTTTTTCAAAAATCTATTTGTCTATTACTTGTATTATCTATACTTTGTGTACATAAAAATAAGTAAAATAAAACATGAAGCAAGTAGACTCAGATTTTCCCATCTAGATCCTTATATATCTCCGTATATGGGTGTGGTAGGTAGGAGTTATCAGAAAGGAGATTGTAAAGGAAAATTTAAGCTCATGTTTGAATTGTCTTAATATGGACTAAAAATGTCCATATATTGGCAGTATGATTGTGTGGTTATAATCAGAACACACTCACCTGGGACATCTTATCTCCCTCTGAGATATCCTTACACCATTGCAAATAGCCAACATCACTGCGGGCCAGGATTCCATGCAAGACTTCTTGAGAGCTTCCTTTTTGACAGCCATTAAAGACATTTGGACTTGCTCTTCCAGTTAAAATCATGTTCAGAACTGCCTAGATATTATATTTTACAAATATTTACAATTTATGCAGCAATGCAACAGGATTCAAATTTCTTTTTTCTTTGAAAAAACGTTTAAAAACTACTGTTGTTACTAAAAAGAATGAAACCATACAATATATAATTCTGGAAAAGCATAAGTCATAAATGTTTGGTAGAGATAAAACAATAGTTTATTGACTTATTTCTTGAAAGGGAACCTGTAACTCCCTGTCACTCTGATCTTTCTGCCTTGAAATTTCTTTTAAGCTTTGTTTTCCATAGTTATGACTTAAGAAGCATAAAGTTAATGAAGATGTATTACTAGAAGGTCTTAGTGGGTCTAGTCATGATATTTTCTAATGTTTCTAGAAGCTCAAGGATGTAGCTCTCAGAGGTAAACTAGAGAGGGCTGTAGTAGAAATGGGAAGTCAGGATACTCACTGCCGTTGAGTCAGATCTGACTCATAGCGACCCCTCCTTGGGTTTCCAAGGCAGTATCACTACAGAAGTAGATCCCAACCTTCCTTCAGAGGAGTGGCTGGTGGGTTTGAACCACCAGCCTTCTGGTTAGCAGTCAAATGCCTTAGGCATTATTCCACAAGAACTCGAATCTTCTTATCTTCTTATTCTTTTAAAATAACTTAATTACTCTGCTCAAGGAGAAAAACTAGTTGCTATTGAGTCAACTCTGACTCATGGAGACCCCCTATGTATCAGAGCAGCACTCCGTTCCACAGGGTTTCCAGTGGCTGATTTTTTTGGAATGGATCACCAAGTCTTTCTTCCAAGATGCCAAGGTGCCAAGCCAAACTTTTGGTTAGCAACAGTACACATTAACTGTTTGCATCACCCAGGGACTTCTTGTTTAAGGAGACAATGTGCCTCATTAGAAAATAAGCCTAATTTAGATTCTATAACAGAAAGGAAATGTCTTCCAACCCACCTGCCTGCAGAAGAAGCCTCCAGCATTTGGCTGTAACAGATGAGTGGTGGTGATGTCTAGGTCCTTCTGAAGCCTGCAGAATGGGAGAAACAGTCAGCAGCTTTCAGCCAGAGATGATGACTGCATGAAGAACCTACAGCCTATCTGTCTTCCACCTCCAACACAAAGCAGCAGTTATATGGTCTCTCCCAGACACTGTCCCTCACATGGGCCTTCCATCTCTCCCTGGGAAGGCTTCTAGGACTGGGGCTGCAGTGGAGGTGGGAAAATTATGGATGCCATCCAGGAACATGAGTGATAAATGATGAGGGAGAAAGAAGAAGATACAGACATATTATAAGTTAGAATCCCTGTGTGTGTGTATGCTCTAGATGTATGTTAGACTCATTAGAAAAGCTGTCTTCACTGTGTGGCAAGAGATTGGGCTTAGGATGGTGACCCATGACTATACTCTAGAATGCTAGTCCAATTGAGAGTTGAACAGGCTGTTCAAATGGAAAACCCCAGCTTCAGGGTTGAGCCTATATTTCTTAGTAGCAGAAGGGGAACCTCCACTGTTACATCAGGTATTTGAGGTTGGGTTTCTGCCCTTGGCAATGTCAGATCTAGGTAGAGTGTGGCTCCTGCTACCACCCAGGATGAGTTGTTGAGTGCCATTATGTGTGCTGTATATTTTCTTGAACAGACTGGAGGTCGTCCCCTCTGTGAGCAAGACCTAAAGATGGGTCTTTAGGTGCCTGCCTTGGTGGTGTCAGATATAACTCAGAACACTACTTCACAAATTGTGCTGGAATTTTAAGTGATAGACATATGACCATGTTTAATATTTAATGGTGATGTGTTAATTTTAATATGTATTAGGGAAAATATTACTTTAATTCACAAAATACATGATTTAAAAGATATTAAAATTTAGGAAGACATTGAAATTTAAGTGTGTGTTGATTTAACAATCAACCATTTGATATCAAAGGGTCAGTATTTGCTCAAAGATGAAATTCAGACAGCAAGAAAGGTTAGAAGAGAAGGAATAATGGAAATGAGAAACAGAGGGAGGAAGTGGAATGAGTGATGTTACATTATGGGAGCTACAATCAAGGACATGAAACAAAATGTGTGTGAATTGTTGAATGGAAAACTGATTTGCCCTGTAAACTTTCACCCAAATCACAAGGTTCTTCTTTTTTTTTTAAATAGATGTGTGTTGATTTTAAAAGTATTAATATGGACTATAAACACATGATGGTGGTGTGCAAAATGTAACTTTCAGGAACACTGCTTTAGGACTTGTAATTCTCTTTTGGGAGCCTTCCATCTCCCTCTGTGACTCTCAAAATCTTACCTTTTCTTCAGGTCCCAGAAGAAAATCTACTTCTTCCATGAAGCCTTCCCTGACCACCCTACCTGGTAGCGAATTCCCCTGGAATTCTTTATACTTCATTGGATGCATGCCAGGTACCATCTGGTACTTGTCCAGTATCTCTATGCACACCTCTTATTTCTTTCCTGGACTGGTACCTGCAGGAGGTCAGGGTCATATCTTCTTATTTGTACACCCCTCCCCCACAGTGCCAAGAACGGGGCTTTTAATGTCATAAAGACAAAATGAATTTTGTAGATAGTGATAATAAATATGTATGTTTTTATGGCGATTGTACAAATAAACTTTGGTATCATCTGCTAATATTTACAACCACAAGAAGAAGGATCCTACTACTGTATTACAAAAGCAGATTCAAACTTTCCTGATAAAGTCCACTTGCAATTAACATGACCATATCAACTATAGAAAAGGCATGTTGATGGAAGAGTATCTATTAGAAAAAATTTGCACATGCGTTTCTAATATGGGATAAAAATATTTTCCCGGCACAAGAGGACATTGCTTATGTGACCCCAGACTGTACAGGAAACACCTGAACAAACATTTATTTACCTTTCAAATGTCCTGGAGAAAAGTAGGCTGTAAAGAAACAGGATGACACCGTGGCTTTCCTCTCCTCTGAACTATTTGGAAAACAAAAGAAAAGCATGCTTGCCTAAAAGCAGTCCACTTATGGGTATGAATTAAAGGATATATCTGTACTAATATTGATATTTGTCGGTCCATCTATCTAACTATCTATCTATCTATCTATCTATCTATCTATCTATCTATCTATCTATAACCCAGTAGTGCAAATGGTTAAGTATTTGACTGCTAATCAAAAGGTTAACAGTTCGAAGCCATCAAGCAGCTCCACAGGAGAAAGACCTGGTGATTTGTTCCTGTAAATATTACAGGTCTGTGGGGCAGTTCTACTCTGCCACCCTGGGTGGCTATAGTCAAAATTGACTAGATGGCACCTAACAACAATGTATGTATATATATGTGTGTGTGAATATACATAATTTATGTATGTATGTATGTTGTTGTTGTTATGTGCTGTCGAGTTGGACCTGACTCATAGCGACCCTCCTTGGGTTTCTGAGGCAGTATCACTACGGAAGTAGATTGCCCCATCTTCCTTCTGAGGAGTGGCTGGT